CCCGAATCCCATCACAAAGGGACATCACAATGCCCCACCCATATGATCTGCCATGTTAACTAACACCAGAGCTGCAGTGGTTCTGGGGACTATAGTGTCCCTTTAATGTGAGGTAAATTAGAGATTAGTGCCACGAATAATATACTAGATTGCCTACTTACAACCAGATGAGGATGATGATGGTCTCTAGCTGCCGTCTGGCTCCACTGGTCTGGTGTACAACAGGCTCTCTGGAGGCGGTTTGTAACTGTGGTCACAAAAATCACTGTTCTGGGAGAACGGGAAGCAGCTCCATATTTTTGAGGGCCCTTTACACAGCTCAAGGTCTGGGTCCCAGGATCCACCTTCATGTTCCACCAATGAGTTTGTTCACAGGGAGTGGAGTGTGTGTGTGAGGGATGTCCTGATGTGTGTAAGGAATGCATTGTGTGAATCTGTGTTTGTATGTGTAAGGGCTGCAAGATGAGTTTGTGTATGTATGGGATAAAATGATGTGTAATGAGGAATGCGTGTCTTACTGTGTGTAAGGGATGCATTGAGTGTGTGTAAGGGGTGCATTGTGTGTTTTTCTGTGTGCAAGGGGTGCATTGTGTGTGATGGATGTCAATCTCTCCCCCTCCCCCCCGTCAATTTCCTTCTCCCCCCTCTCCCTCCAATTTCCTTCTTCTCCCCCTCCCACCCTCTCTCCAATTTCCTTCTTCTCCCCTCCCTCTCATTTCCTTCTCCCCCCCTCCAATTTCCTTCCTTCTCCCCTCCAATTTCCTTCCTCTCCCCATCCCTCAAATTTCCTTCCTCTCCCCCGTCCTCAATTTTCCTTCCTCTCTCCCTCCCTCAAATTTCCTTCTTCTCCCCCTCCCTCAAATTTAATTCCTCTCCCCCTCCACCTCCCATTTCATTCCTCCCCCCTCCCATTTCATTCCTTCCCCCCCTCCCATTTCATTCCTTTCCCCATTTCCTTCCCCCTCATTTCATACCTTTCCCCCCTCCCATTTCATTCATTTCCCCCATCCATTTCATTCCTTCCCCCTCCCATTTCATTTCCTTCCCCCTCCCAGTTCATACTTTCCCCCTCCCATTTTCATTCCTTTCCCCATCCCATTTCATTCCTTCCCCCTCCCATTTCATTTCCTTCCCCTCCATTTCATGCCTTTCCCCATTCATACCTTTTTCCCTCCCATTTCATTCCTTTCCCCATCCCATTTCATTTCCCTCCCCTCCCATTTCATTCCTTTCCCCCCCTCCCATTTCTTGCAGCTTTCCCCCTCCATTTCATTTCCTTTCCCCATCCATTTCATTCATTCCCCTCTCCCATTTCATTCCTTTCCCCCATTTCATTCCTTCCCCCCTCCATTTTCATACCTTTCCCCATTTCATTCCTTCCCACCCCCTCCCTCAAAATTTCATTCCTCCTCCCAGCGGCGAGCAGTGGCGGGCAAGCGTGAGGAGCACTGTCTGTGTGCTTCCCTTTCAGCTCCCTCGCGCACCGCGTACTGATGCCGGAGCCGGAAAATGACGTCATCTTCCGGCTCCGGCATCAGTACGCGGCGCGCGAGGGAGCTGAAGAGGAAGCAGACAGAGAGTGCTCCCTCGCGCGCCCGCCCGCCGGGTGTCTGCAGGGCCAGCCTCTGGGGGCCCTGAGGTGACCGGCTGCTGGGCCCCCCAGGAGAAGAGGCTGGCCCAGTGGGTACATACCGAGTCGCAGGACCCCCTGCGACCCCGTATGTACCCACTGAATGTGGGGCCCGGACGACCTGAGCAGTCCGGGCCCCCCAGGACCGCCGGGCCCATGACAACCGTTGCAGTTGTTATGCCCTGATGGCGGCCCTAAAGGTCCATGCAATCATATTTAGTGCTAAACAGGCCAGTGCATTAATTATTTATCTGTGTTCAGCAACTTTAACGGAACAGATTTTAAACTCATGTTATTGTTACTAAAATAAATTGTGTTAGTTGTTTTTTTTTTTTTTGTTTCACGAATTGAATTTCGAAGGCTCATCAAACATCTGAGTACATTGGCCTCATAGTGCATTCCTCACTGTCTATGTCCTTTCTTGCAGCTTCAGGCAGCTTGTCACAGAGTACGAACCTGATGTGCAAGAGGTCCCACGTCTCTTTCGCTCGGTCCTACAGGAAGCCACTGAGAAAATGAAAGAAGAGGAAGAGACAAAGAAAATAGCAAAGCAATGGAACACAAAGCGAGCCATGAGCTTATCTCTTACAACCTTCAAGTCTCGAGCCAGAATTTATCCTTTCGCTAGTGACATTAAGACAATTTCTGAAGATGTTGAGAGAGAAGCATTGCCCACACGAAGGGTATGGAGTATGCCTGAGTTTAAAACCACCAAAGATGACTGAACCCAGTTTTTCAAAGGCAAATTAACAATAAAAAAACATTTTTGTACTTGTGGGAGATGTATAACGAAGCGTTTTTTTTTCTTTTACCTTTTTATACTTTCATTTCTTTTTTATGTCATTTAGGTGAATCTTGGAAACAAGTCTCTCAAACTCTAGGTATTGTACTGCATGTCACATGAGCCTCAGGAATGTGCTGATTGAGAATTATATGGATTTTAGTTCAGCCTGGTTTTACAGTTATTACAGTGACATTATAAGCATCCAAACACTTTAGCTTAATGAAGCGGTTTTAGTGTTTAGATCATGCCCCTGCAGTCTGACTGTTCGGATCTCTGCCATTTAGGAGTTAAATCCCTTTGTTTATGCAGCCCTAGTCACACCTCCCCTGCATGTGACCTACACAGTCTCCCCTAGATTTATTTTATTTCCTGTAAAGAGAATGTTCAAACTTCCTTTATTGCACAGTCTGTTTAATTTAGAATGTTGTATCGTCTGCTTTGTTTGTAGCCTGGTAGAGCCTATAGGAGCCTCCTGTGTGTGATTAAAGTTCAATCAACAGAGCAGGATATTAAAACGTCTAAATTAAACACACTGAACTACTTGACAATTAAACCTTTTTTTTCATGAAGGTCGTGTGAGTCACAGCCTCTAGAGAGAGTGAAAGTGTGCGTGAATTTGGAGGAGAACATTGGCAAATGTTGTATGTGATACACAGCTGTATCCCAGTTCTTTCACGTATATATGAGGTGTGGCTAGTGCTACATAAACAGAAACAAAAGTGATTTAACTCCTAAATAGCTGAGAATTGAGTAGTGAGACTGTAGGGGCAATATCTATGCACACACACTGCTTCAGAAAGCTAAAGTTGTTTTGGTACTTTCACTTTAATCATTTTGCTAAATGTTATTTTTGTTACCATGTCAAAAGTACTTAAGCAACAAGGGCTGTGCCTCTCTGTATAAAATGTCCAAATTAATTTAACTTCACAATTAGTTTACTAAACCCCCCAATGTTGTTTATTAAAGTAATGAAAACTATTGGTCTTCCAGCTGCTGTGGACTACTTAGATCTTATGATGCTCAGGCAGTAGAATGGTCCATATTAACTGGAGTGCCAATGTTTAGAGATAGTCAACCTATTTTAGCAAAGCTGTGCTTAGCATTACAGCTGTGTGGAGTATGTTTTTCTGTTGTAATTGTATTGTGAAGTATCTCATATTTAGCATATTCTGTGAGTGTTCTATTCAAACCAACTTTATTAACAACATGCTTTGCACATTGTATTGAAAATACGTTCTTTTAAGCAGAATTGAAGTTTACATGAGTAGTCATAATGACTGTGTGATAAGAACTACAAATTATCTACTATCTGTGCATCAAACTACATTACTAAACTTAGTTTATTCACAAAATGTCACATTTTGGACACTTAAAAGACATCTGTCACCTCATAACTATTTTAATAAAATATACATTTCATCTGGTTTTGAAAGGAAATAGATTTTTCTTAAATGATGTGCATAGAAACATTTAAAAAAACACAACCTTTAGTATATGACAGGATCCTTCAGCCATATACATACACATTTGGTCAGATGAAGTTTGAAAAGTCTCTATGGTCTTCCCTGTTTCACTCCATGCACAGAAGCTGAGAAGACCATAGAGACTTACTGGATGTTTTCAAACACTGTCTGTCTCAAGGTGCATGTAAAATGGCTGAAGGATCCTGTCATATTATATATTATAAATATAAAAGTTTTATTTGATTAAAAAATAATTTGTAGGTGACAGTTGTCCTATAATGCTCAAGGAGTATGATGAATATAAAGTGCTAGATACATATTTGTAGTGCAGAACAAATTTGGATCTCAAATGGCTTTGGGTTAGTACCAGCTACGGAGGTCAATTAAGGGACATTTTCAGCATCCAGATTAGTGACTATGCTGCCCCGTGGCACTGCATTTTGCTTCAATCTCAGCAGGGTTTTGAGGTCTCAGGACCTTGCTAAGTTTTGTGTCTATCAGAGTTGAAACAAAAGCTTGCTCAAATGTGCAGTCTCTCCAGTTAGACTTCTAGCAGATGTAATTGAAATAATGTCTTCTATCCTGCTGATATGGTGCTTTTATATATTAAAATACACAAAACCCTGTCACATTATGGCATTACTGGTAGATTAGTTGGTTATATTAGTAACTGAAACATAGAACCATAGCAGCATTGTTGGACTTAAGAAAATGTTTGTGAAATAAACCTTAAGGAGTTTTCACACCATGGATGGATCCATGATACCATTTTTGATCTCATTTAGCATTGTGCCTGGGAGTCAGCTCAGTGTAACATATTGCATTCTCCAACAGAAGAAAGTCTGTGGGTCAAACTGATGTGTTAGTTAATATGAGCTTTAGGATTGAAGTGCTGTCTTTAGATTAGTCACAGTCAAGTAGAAACTCAGTTTCTGGGTAAATTTGGATTAATATGCTTTGATTTATTAATAATGAAATTGATCTTGCTTTAAAGTGGTTGTTTTTGTATTAAAATCTGTTCATAAATAACAATATGCAAAGGAAGGTTCATCATGATTTATTTAGTGGGATACAATTTTAATTCCAAAGAGGAAGGAATCCTTAACGTAAATTCTCAAGACAATATTTGGAAAATACACAAAAAAAAAAGGCAGCATTATATTTGGTTATTATATTGGTTTTATGGCTATAAAACAGTAATGCTGGATAAGAAAACCACTTACGTCCACCCAGTTTAATGTTTTACGCATTGCTGCTTACCTATGGTATAACTTTTTTTTTTTAATAATATTGAGAAAATGGCAATAACATCTTGCGACATGTCTGCTCAGAACTTGCTTTTCATATGTGAATGTGCTAGTTTTTGTGTGTTTAGATAGAGAGTGATCGCCATGTATTCTTTTTAAATTCACGCCATCGGTCTACGAAATAAAAGGTGGGTCTGGTAAAATGACCTTCACTCTTTTGTCATTGTGTTTGGTGGGATAGAAATGTAGCCCAACTCGAACTACAGTCAAATTTTCTTCTCACCGATAAACTGGTCAGGAGCCTCAGGGTTCTTACAGAAGCAGAGGCCATTACCAATGTGTCGTCAAGATTGGGTCCAATTATTCAATATGTACAACCATTAGTAGATTATGGTAGCCTCTTGCATATCATGCTGAAGTTGAAAGCTCACTGAGAAATACAGCACCAATGAGTTCTCTGGTCCAAGTAGATTATATAACTGACCTTCCTGGGGTATATAGTTAGACCCAGAATTGGGACCTCAAATGTACTAGAACAAATGTGATTTGGAATTACTGGTGTCGCCACTGCAGCGTTCGATAGGATAGATAAGGGAAGACTGATCTACCCTACTTCTGGTTTAAGTGAATAATGATACATGCTGCCGACAGGATTGGCATATCGTTAGATACAGAACACAGTTGAATTGCTCCAGCCTTGTGGTTTTTGGGTGTTAGCAATAAGTGATACTAGATAGCCAATAATGCGCTGGGCAGATCACAGGTGTATCCACCAATTTGTGAGCGACAATCTACCTGAGAAAATTCTCCATCATGCCCTTAAGGTTAACCTTAGTAGGGGAACCAGGTCTTCATGAAGTCAGGCCCTCAGAAAATTGGTTCCAAATGGTCTTCAGCACAGGACTAATCAGAGAAACTGTTGTAGTGTATAGGGATTTTCACCATCTTGGGCAGCATGCTGCTCTTCCATGCGAACATGCCGTCACATTAGTGTGTCAGTTGATTTATGTTCAATAATAAGAAGTGATTCATTTCTTTCCTCAGTTTCTCCAATTCATGTAGAATATTGCATATGATATTGTAAAACATACATGAAAGAACCATTCCCTTTTGTTTGTTTGGTACTGCCATGAACCAAGATTGTCTTTTACTTCCATTTTTACAAGGTAACATGCACAGATATTGTAACAGGTAAGCTATTTAGTTAAAGACTGTCAGTGTATATTCTAACATTTAACACCAATTGCATTGCACTAGAATGAAGTTAACACAGTATGGCTGGGTTGCATAGCATAACAAAATGTCACGTAAGATCCTATGTGAACATTCAGTTTAACAGGCAAAACAAATGCAACACAAATTATATAAAATTTGTGTGCTCCTTAAGCCAATTCTCCACCCCCCCTCAATAACCATAAATTACATGATTTAGTACAGCTCATGTATTTTTTATTGAAAGTTGTTCAAAATGCAAGAGAGCCCCCTGTCTTAGATAGTTTAATTTATGGAGCGGGGCTGGTGAGCTACTCACACATCACACAAGCTAACTGCAATCAAGTTGAATTACTAGAGTAACATCACTCATGTTAACCCCTTAAGGACTGGACTGTTTTTGCGATGTTGTACATTTGCAACCAGGAATATTTTTACACTTTTCTGGTGTTTGTGTTTAGCTGTTATTTTCCGCTCTCTCATTTACTGTTCCCATACAAATTATATATTGTTTTTTTCAGGACAAAAGGGGCTTTCTTTACATACCATTATTTATATAATCTCATGTATTTTAATTTTAAAAAAATAAAAAAATATGATGAAAAATTGAAAAAATACATGTTTTTTGACTTTTACTTGAAAAATCTTTTACTCATCTACAAAAGCGAATGAAAAAAACAGCTAAATAGATTCAAAATTTTGTCCTGAGTTTAAAAATACCCAGTGTTTACATGCTTTTTTGCTTTTTTTTTGCAAGTCATAGGGCTATAGGTACAAGTAGGATATGGCGGTTTCAAAACAAATTTTTTTTAAATGTATCAATAGTGACATTGTAACACTTATCTGTCATAAATCTCTGGAAAACACTCCACATGTATATATTTTTTTTAAAGTAGACAACCCAGGGTATTCATCTAAGGATATTTTGACACTTTCTATACAGCCATTTTACCACAAGTCTTTGCCAAACTTTGCATAGATAGTTGTTTTTTTTGTTTTTTTTCACATACATTGCAATTCAGGTATAAACTTACAGATCCTGTTATGTCTTGCTGCCAAACAACACGCCAATATGTGTTCAGCAACATCTCCTGAGTACAGTGATACCACCCATGCATAGGCTTGTCGGATTGTTTGGGGCTAAAAGGCCACATTTGGCAGGTGCGCATATCCATTTTTCAACTTGGAATTTTGACATGTAGTCAACCTGCGCACATGTCCTATTTGGGACATTTGTAAGGCCGGCCAATGTATTTTACCCCCACCAAACCATATATTTTTAGAAAGTAGACACCCTAGGGTATTTCAAATGGTGTTTTTTTAACACTTTCCATGCACTAATTCTACCACCAGACATTGTCAAACATTTAGGTAGTCATTTTTTGTGTGTTTTTTTCACACACATTGTACTTTAGGCATGAATTAACAAATCGTGTTATGTGTCACTGCCAAACAACACGCCAATATGTGTTCAGCAACATCTCCTGAGTACAGTGATACCACCCATGCATAGGCTTGTCGGATTGTTTGGGGGCTAAAAGGCCACATTTGGCAGGTGCGCATATCCATTTTTCAACTTGGAATTTTGACATGTAGTAAACCAGCGCCCCTGTCCTATTTGGGCCAATGTATTTTACCCCCATCAAACCATATATTTTTGAAAAGTAGACAACTCAGGGTATTTTAAATGGTGGTAGTTTAATACTTTTCATGCAATAATTCTACCACCAGCCTTTGGCAAACTTTTGGGTAGTAATTTTCTTCATGTTTTTTTACACATACATTGTACTTTAGGCATGAATTAACAGATCCTGTTATGTATCACTGCCAAACAACACCCCAATATGTATTCAGCAACATCTCCTGAGTACAGTGACATCACCCATGCATAGGTTTGCTGGGTTGTTTGGGGGCTAAAAGGCCACATTCAAGAATTGTACATATCAGTTTTTCAACTTGATATATAGGTATGCTTGGCCTATCTTCAGTTTGGCATATTTTTGCATCCCCCCGTTAATGTTAACATCATGAAAGTTTATATTTTTATAAAGTAGACATTCCAGAGTATTGTATATGAGGTGTTTTCACATCCTTCCCCCAACCATTGTGCTAAACAAATTTCAGAGAACGTGCATGGTGGTAATTTTTTAATTCTGCTTTTTATGCACACGTCATCTGGTTTTGGCCAGCCAGTTATATGTTACTACCATAAAACTTTTTTAACCAAATGTGCAGGTATCAAATGCACCTTTAGCAGCATTCTCTAAACTAACTCCTGCAAAAAGAATCTAATTGGAGATTTGGGGGGAAGGAAACTGACTAACTAAAATTTGCTGCTTTCAAAAGAAAAAAAAACAGTGCAAAGGGGTGTCTGTCCTTTTCCTTTTTTTATAACAGACCCAGCAACATTTCAGGGATTTGTTTTTTTTTGCAGTTGGCAGTATCTTAAAAATAAAATGTCTGGACTCCTTTGGCACCGTTGTTGGAACTTGACCATCTCCATAAATTATTGTGGAAATCAGCTTGAACTAAAATTGGAGAAAGGTGGTTCTTTCTGAATTCATTTTTTTTAAAGAGTAAAAATTAATTATGTGTTGCTACTTGCATCAGGTAGATAGCCACCTTTTTATACCAGGCTTTTGTCTTTCTTAAGATAAGATATGGCTGCATCAGCTGATCAGCCAAATCAACACCCCCTATGTGCCTGTTATAAGCCCTGATGCACACCGGTTTTGTCTGTACCCTGCCTCGGACAGTGACGTCTGACATGCCCTCGTTATGGATGGTTGTTAGCATGTGAACATCCTTCCTGTCCTTAAATTTTATTGCAAGCACTTTAGCTTTGTGCAGACCTTTACATTCACTTTTTTTTTTTTGGCCTCTATAAAAGGTCTGGGGAAATCCTTGGCATATCTTCTCACACTGCCACAGGCCAGTATCTAGAAACCCTAAAGAGTTTGAAACAAAACGGACAATGCTATAAAAATTGTCCACATAAAGGTGGTAACCCTTATTGAACAAGGGGATCAGTAAGTCAAAAACAAGTTTCCCGCTTGTCCCCAGAGACTCAGTACAGCCAGGAGGGTCCAGTTGACCATCTTTCCCCTCATATATACGAAAGGCAAATGTATAGCCACTTTCGCTCTCGCACAGTTTGTAGAATTTTACACCATACCTAAAGCGCTTTGAGAG